GGCGCCGAGGGGCAGGCATCCAAGGAGAAGCGCCCGGCACCTTTCCGTAAGAGGAGGGCACGTGATCTGGGCGCCCGTCAGCGCTCAAGGGGACAAGGACGCTGGCACAAGGGAGGCCGGCGTGCCTGGTGCGGCCCCGCGGTTTGGCCTCGTGAGCCCTGCTGAGCTGCCGCGAGGGTCGGCGCTCCTTGAGGCCCTGTGGCCACGCTGCTTCGGGGGCGAGACGGGGACTGCGGAAGCGTGGGAGACCTCAAAGGCCCAGCTGGGGAACGGCCCACGTGAACACAGGCTGACACGGTCAGTGGGGCGGTTTGCCCTCTGGATATCCCAGACCAAGAGCAGCCCGCGCCTCTAGGGTGACCTCGGGGATCACGCACGCCTCAGTGCGTAACTTCTGCCCGCTGTGGGTAGCTGAGAGGGGTCCGGGACTCTGGCATGCCCATGGGCTCTGCTGCCTTGGGAAAGCCTAGGAGAACCTAACTGAACTGCTGCCTTACTCAAAGGCTGAGCAGCTCCGGAGGTGGGAAAGGAGCATGGAATTACACCTCCTTTTTCTTCTGCTTTTCTGGACAAAATAAGCCCAGGAGAGCTCTTTAAAGCATCCTGACCAGAACACAGCCCAGGAGAGACTCGTGTTTCAGAGACCTGCTGTTCTGCTGCGCAGCTACATCCCACAAAAGATCTCTCTTCATCTTGGAAAGGAAAGGGCAGTGATCCTCAAGGCTGGCTCCACACTACTCCTAGGCCTCTTCTGCTAGGCAGTGGGATTTAATGGTTAATTTTTATTTGAGGTCTTCCTAGAAGAGACCTGCGTTTGTGGGCCAAGGGATAGAGGAGTGCAGATAACTGCTCTGCGGGTGGCTCTCGCCCGGCCAAACAACTAGAGCTGATTTCAAAACTGCTCGTGCGTCTCCTGTTTCTCTGAGGAACCCCGCAATTCTGCAGCTAGCATAAATAAGTGAACTCACCAAGAGGTGGCACTGTATAGACTGAAATAGGTGAAACAACATGGAGACTCTTCCTGAGAAAAGGTGGAGGGGATGGTGCCTTACCCAGAAATGGTTGATTAGAGAAAGCCCTTGGCTGGAAGGGATACCCCAACACCTAGACTGTAAGGCTTTCATGTGTGGGAGGGCTGGGTGACGCTGCAAAAAGAAAAAGAAGGGGACTACCACGTGCAAAGACTGAACAAGAATTCAGGGAACTCCTACTACAGGGAAATCCGAAGCCTGTTTCTTCCCTGGAAAGTGAACAGACAGTCAGAGTCAGGCAGACCCCTCACTGTGATCCCGGTAGCTAAACAAGCAAACAAGCCACGAGACAGTCCTCTGGAAACCAGAAGCGGCTCAAAAAGATTTCCGATAAGGATCAGCTGCTGATTAAAATCAGCATTATTCTGCTGTGTGTACCTGTACGTTCAGCACTTGCTCACATTTGTGTTTGGTGCTCATGCATTTCAGGGGACGCTTTCTGGAACGTACAACGTGTTTTTCAGCGTTCTGAAACGCACCAAAATGTACCGCAGCCGGGGGTACTCCCCTTCCCTACCCTGCAGGAGAGCCCGGCAGAAGGGTGCCGTTCCTTGTGCTCTTTCATGTGAATGATGCTAGTAGCTGATTTACATGTAACAGTGCAACACTGACCTAGGCATAATAATGGGAAAGCTGATGTGGGATTCAGCTGGTAAAGAATTAAAGGATGGAATATAATTAATGCAATCAGCCTAGTTTCTGGAAAATAGCTCTTGTCAAACTCTGATGTCATCCTTTGAAGAGATTACAAGTTCGGCTGATAAAGGTTATGGCACAGGAATAATAGACCTGGACTCTGTTCAGGCATGTGACTTAATCCATATAGTATTC